AGGTAGTTGTTCTGTGTGTTAAGGTTTGTTATGCATTTGTTTATGGGGGTTTAGTTATGTTTGTTTCTGGTTTTAGGGGTTTTGTTTGTTTGCAGCTGTTTTTTGTTTATTTTGAATCAGAGATCATGCAAAGAAGAGTTTGAGGTTAAATTTCAGGCAAGAGAATCAGGAGAGTTTGTTGAATAGTTGAATGCAGAAAGGGAGGACTAAAGCAGGGAACATTATCAGTATAGACGATGTTTCCATGTTATTTCTGAGGTAGATGTCTAATATGTTCATAACCTAAAATCTGAAGCACCTCCAACTCCAAAACTTTCCTTTAATTTTAGGTTTGACCCTCCCATTTCATACTTGTGACAGCAATTCTTGTCCAAAAACTGAAGATAAAGGTATAAATGTTTCATATTGTGCTGCATTGGATTTGACAAAGCAACAATGCAGAAATTATTTATATCTCCATGTAGCAGTCTAGCTTTTTTTCTTACTTTTTTCCTACTGCACATCTAGTGTGTTTTACTATTGTGACCTTGTGCTTGGCACTGAAGGACAAGCACATATATATTGCATTATAGGGAAAAAAATCTCTTCTTTCTTTTTTTTTTTCCCCTCTCTGGTCCTTCCCTATAGCAAACCCGTGTTTCAGTAACTGGCAGCTGCTTCCAGGAGCAGATAGGCTAGGAGACATGGCCAGCATATCACCATAGAGAAAACAGCCTGCTGCAATGGGTTTTTCTTCATAGTCTGGTAGAATTTGGGGGACTAGGAAGGAGCTGGTGTTTTGATAATTCTAAAAAATTGTTTGAAAGACAGTTAATTTAATCTGGAACAGGCCAGTGTTATTGAGAGGTTAAAAAGGTCTCCCCATTTGAATGTTTTTGTCAATTCCTAGATGAGAAAGCAAGTTCAGCTGATCTGGATAAGCAGGTGACAGTTCCCTTCTCGCCTGGCTGCCAGTCCCAGAGCTATTGCTGGAGCTGGTGTCAATCACAGCCCTCTTGACTGGACAGCAGCTGAAGCCTGCAAGGCAATTGCTGCCTGCTGTTCTGGTCAGGTGTGGTACATTCTAAAAAGTGGGCCAGTGCTTGTGTGCAGCCCAGCTCTGCATTAGAAATGAGTGCTTTGTAAAGAGGCTTTGAATCTATTACAGGTGCAGCACACATGCAAGTATTGGTATGCAGCCAAAAGAAAGTTATGCTATAGGAGTTGTTATAGTTTTAGGTATATGCCATTTGCTGATAAAAAGTCTAAGTTTCTTGTAGATAGGCTGAACTGCTAGAACTCCCTCATTAAAATAAATGTGTTTAGAAAGGTGGAGCACAGGGAGCAGTCCTTTAAAACTTATCTGGATAATATTTTTGGAAGAAATAGAAGCTGTCTTTTTAAAAAAGTAAATCTGTTGTAGCCCTACCTACATGTTTCCACTTATATCCTGATTTTCTTTGCATTGGCCTGAGTTAACTCTGCCCCCTACAGCATTCATCCTGTTGGTATAGAAAATGGAAAATTCTGTAGATTGCCTTAAAGGAGTTCCTCTGATAAGATGGGCAGCGAGTTGAAGAAAATTGTAGCCTGAACCATGGTAAGGTAAAAGCATATTATGACATGCACAGTTTTCATCTATTGCTAATTATATAAGTGTGATGCTTGTAATTTCAGTCATCCTTGCTGCTGTAGTCATCTGGGTATGGAAGCAAAGGGCCTTGACAGGAGCAGGTGTTTGGGTAATTCTGAAAATTGCATGGAAGAGAAAGACAGCAGTTTAATCCAGCTCATACAGCCAATTGGAATTGCTGATCTACTACAGAACTGATTGAATTTTAATGAGTTGAATTATCTTTGAATTAAATTGGTTGATATGCTTGTGGTTGTTTGAACAAAACTGGGGGATTTTGCATAGATCTAACCTGGAAATAAACTGGAACACAAAATCTGGAAAACAGCTCTTTACTCTTTTCAAATTAGATTAATAATGATGTATTCACTAGGGACTGACATTGTGTTCTTAGCTTATTACTTTGCCTGAGTAAAATTTGTATGAAAACAGAAAAATTAATAGTCATTAGATTATGTTTTCCCACTAGAAATCTTTTCTGCTTGGGGTCAGCAAGCAACAAAGGCTTTGCAAGCATAGCTTGTTCACATGATTTTAACAGACTTTTTCCAGGCTTCTTTTTTTGCCTTTTCTCTCTCATTCCTAGTGAGAGTAGGACTGGGATAATAATAATGTTGGCAGTAGTAGTAGTAGAAAGCAGCACATCTACATGTCAAAGAGGGTGTTTGGAAAGAGAAGCAAACTCTCTCTTTATAGCTTGGAGTCTAAAAGCAACTTTAGGACTCCATTTTCTGGCTGTTTTGGATAGGCAGAAAGAGGTTCTTCTGGCAGTAGAGAAGTTCTGCTGGTAGTGTAGCTAGGGAAGGTAGGCTAAATTAACCCTACCAAATAGCTAACATATGTTTAAAAAAAACCCCTTAATCCAGTTCATATAGGGGAAGGAGACAATGTCTCGTACTCAAATACAGTGGCATATTGATTCTGTTACAGTATTAAGGGATGGGGAGCAAAGCAGGTGACAACTGCAGAGTGATACTAACAACTTTTCTTTATGAATACTTGCAAGCAGCAAAACCAAGAAAGATCAGAAGGATAAAAGTTCTTCATATACTGCTATAGAAACAGTATCAAAATTCTTATACAAAATCAGCATAAAGCAGGCTCTCCTGATTTACAGCACATGCAGTTTTTCTAAGAACTCTATACATATAAATATATTTGTATGTATGTGTACACCTGTTGGGATATGATATATTTGAAGAAACACAGAGGCTCTTTTGTTTTCCTTTCCTTTCCTTTCTTCTGACTGAATGTTTGCATTTATTCCAGTCCTTTGGAAGTAGGTGCACCTATGAGCATATAGAATTCCTAAATGGGCATCTGCAGATAAAGTTCAGTTCAGCAGGCTTCTAATGAAGTTATTCTGTGCAAATAACGTATGGCACATCTGAGCTTAAAACTGCTGCAGCTGGGATGTGCCATACATTAAATCTCAGTGCCTTCCAGTGTGTCCTGCATGCAGCAGGATCACATAGATCTCATTCTTGATCCACATGTTTTGACAATCCTGGAAATACCTAAATTTCCTAACTGAAGAAACTATAGTTATTAGAAAGAAAACTGGAAATCCTTTATACTGGTGAGTTAAAAGTATATAATATTGCATATAATATTGATGGTTCTAGTTGTTGGTATTTTCTTACACTCTTTTTTGTAGTACTATTTAGGTAAGGATTTTGAAATTGTCTTTCTAGGTTTTTGAAGAAGATGCTATAATTTATATTCCTACCAAACCTCTGCTGCTGTTCAGTTTATTTTTCCAGTATTTCACAAAGATACTAGTATTATCTATTAATAATAATTCTCAATTATGAGTTGTGATGTGACTTTTGCCTTTATCTTTAGAATTTTGACAGGAAAAAATTATTTATCTGTCTGGTTTCTGGCCGATATTTTGCAGTAATACACCTTAAGTCCAATCATAAGGATATTTTAAATTTGACTTGTGATCAGATGGAAGTAGAGCTTACTGTAGATCAAGTGATTAGCCGAGGGCTCTTCTATAATTTTCTCAGAAATTTGGCTGGATGAACTTCTTTAGCATTCAGAGGCTATTTTCAGTTAACTGGATTCAAGTGTAGACCTCTAGTACAGCATCCCTTTATCTGAATAGCGACATCAGTCTAGTTCTGTAGCAGGGAAAAGAAATGTGCAGATGCTGATGTATCAATCGTACATACTCATAGAGGCACCTGTTTCCAAAGGACTGGAATACATGCAAACACTTGCCTGACAGCGGATATTGACCAGGAAACTGAATTGTTGTTCTAAGCTCCAGTAAATATTTCTTGATGCACTGTGTGAGAAAGTTTTCTTGTCTATGCCTAATATAGCTTTACAGAGTGTGTGGGCAATTAGCGAGGTGGCTTTTCATAGTGTGAAAAAGGAAAGTCCTTTTTTCTGCCGAAACACGTTTGAGCTAAATAGCAACACATCAACTTCTACTAAAAGAGATTGCAGCGGACTATAGAAACCACCCTAGAAGGTCTTTTTATTTCATGAGAGAAATCCTAGATGCCAGGCATCTACGAATGCGGGCATTCCAGCGACCCCGTCCATCGGGACCACAGAAGCGATTTGATTTCTGAGGTCTGCTGCTGGCTGAGCCTCTGCGGCGGCGGGGACTTCCAGGCGGGACTCGGACCTGGACCGGAGCCGAGCCGGTGCTTTCGCCTCCTGGTCAGCCGAGGTGCGCTCCACGCTGCCGGGTGAAGGGCCGGCAGCTCGCTCTGGTTCCGCCCGAGAGCGCCGGGAGCCCCTGCCCGGGGAGGGAGGGGGCGCGGTGACGGCGGGTGGTGCGGGAGAGGCGGGCGCGGTGGCCCCGGGGCCGCAGCCCCGCATCCCCCGGCGGCCGCGGCGGGGCCGGGCGGGGCGAGGGGCACAGCCCAGCCCGGGACGGACTGGGATGCGCTGGGCAGGGCAGCCGGCGGCGGCCCCGGGAGCCTCCGCCGTGGCGAGATCGGACAAAGGCTTCCAGGAGAGGGAGTGGCAAGCGGCCGCCCAGCCCTCGGCGGGCTGCGGGCGGGTCGGTGCCGCCGGGACGGGGGGAGAACAGAGGAGACAACTTCCCCAGGGGCACGGGGGACCCCAGCAGGGCGGAGGCGGCTGCTGTCGAGAGCAAGGGGCTCTCCCGTGCCACTGGCCGCTCCCCCGAAGGTGGCTGCGGGGAGGGGAGGCGGGGGAGGAGCCGGGCTCATCCCCGGGCGGGCGGCGGCCCCTCCACTGCGCCAACCTGCAGGCGGGCTGGAGGCGGCAGCCCCGCCCGGCCTCGGCTGCCGGGGCCGCGCCGCCCCTGCCTCCGTCCCGGGCAGAGCCGCAGGCGGCCGCTGCCCGCTGCGTCGGTGCCGGACTGCAGCTTGCTGGCGGCCAGGGCAACAAGCAGCGGCATCTTGGAGCGTCTTCTTTCCCGAGTGCCCCTTCATCTTTCCCAGCCCGCTCCTCTCTCCTACCTGCAGCCTTTCTTTCTTCCTCCACTCCTTCTACCTTTTTTCTGCTTGTCGCCCCCTTCTCTTACCATTTTCTGGTTCTAAGGGTTTTTTTAAATTTCCTTCTCTTTCTTCTTCCTCCATCCTGTTCCCTTTTGGACCATCTTCATTTAGTGCCTCTTAATTTCTTGATTTCTTCCGATTTTTTTCCCTTGGACTTTGCCTTGTCATGTCAAGATGGAAGTCAGGCATGACTGGCTCTCCTCATCCCCCCATGAAGGCTTCGAGCAGATGAGGCTGAAGAGCAGACCCAGGGAGCCTTCCCCAAGCCTCACCAGAGTAGGTGCGAACTTCTACAGCACTGTCAAGCAGCAGGACTACAGTGCCAGTGTCTGGCTGAGGAGGAAAGACAAACTGGAGCACGTAAGCCAGCTTCTTTTTTCCCCCCACTTTTTTATTTTCTTTTTCTTTTTTTTTTTTTTTTTCCCATTTCTAGACCTCTGTCTAGGTACTCTGTTAGGCTGTCTGCCATCTGCCAGCTGGGACTTCAGAAGAAAAGTGTTGCTCCAGTAGTTGGGCTTGGCATTTCCCAAATGATAGAGAGAGGAGCTGTTAAGAAGTCCCATAGTGGTCAGATCTGAGGTAATTGGGACGTCAGTACTGTTCCAAACTACATGAAGTCTCCTTCTAACTGGAAATATTTTTTAACGTTCTTGTCTGATTCCTTCTTCTGCTCCAGCAAATTCAGGACTGATGTGGGAGGAGAAAGATTGGGATGGTGCAGATGGAGGTTAGAACATTTATCTCGTGGTGATTATAATGTAGTTCTAGAATAGCTTAAAGAAAATAGCTGGTGGTTGGTGTTTTGTTTGTTTGTTTTGTTTTTTTAAATTTTAGATGTGATTTTCATTCTTCCCCTGCCCCATCTTTTTCTTCTCCATGCATGGGACTTCGAACATACTCTACCTATTTGGGGTAGAGATTTCCTTCAAGACTTTTCTTGCTGCAGCAGTAGTACATGACTTAACTGTGTTTGAGACCACAATAGGACTGATACTGTGGATAGCTCTAGTGAATATTTAATGAGAATTTGACGTGCTTCAAAGTGTTCCTGTCTCAGATGATGTTTGAAAGCATTTTTCATGTTACTTGTAACAGCAAGGAAATGGGTTGCAATGACCTGCGTGCTGTGTAAGTTTCCTGAATAGCTTATTAGGTGAAACCCATTGTTAGAGTGTACAGTACAATCAAGGCAGGAAAGTAGCTGCATTTACAGGGATGCAGAAGAATGTAGATAGGCTTGCATAATGCAACAGTCTGTTATTCTTTACATTAGTGAGTAATTTGCAATCACAGTCACATTGACTTCAAGAGGCACAGAAAAAAAAAATATTTCTTATGGTACAGCCACCTGAAGTCTCTTTGAATAGAAATGGTCTGATTAGAAGGATAAATTGCCTTTATTACGTGAAAATCCTAGATGGATTAGTAGAGTCTTTTAAAGATGAAACCTGAAAGAAGGTCCTTTACCAAGTAGATCATGGACTGTAATCCCTCCCCCCTAACCTACAGAGTATTTTATCCCTCAATGAAATCTTAAACTTGAGTTGTTTATACTTCCGGGGAAATGACAAGAACTGATCATCTGTTGGAAAGATCACATTTCAAATGTTGAGGAAGGTATTGAATTCTGTCTGCCTTTTAACGCAATTTTGTGCTTCTTCACACTGACAACAAAGCTTCACAGTAGTAAGCTTGTAAGTGGAGTATTCTCCCACTGTCAATCAAGAATAAAGGTCAGTGCCTTATCTCACTACAGCTAAAACACTGAAAGCACAGAAATCAGAGCTGTGGCTTTTGTAACAGATTTTGCTACATGTTGATATCTGTGATCAAATGAATAATTATTAATTGTGGGGGGGATTAATCTGTCAGTAGTTTGATATCTGGTAGCTGAGTGGTCTGATACCTGTATATTAAACCTTATCACAATATTATCAGGAAGAAAGAAAATAGGCATTAACTTGTTTGAAGATTGAAAGTGCAAAACCTTTATTTTGTGTGTGGTTTTGTTGCTGGGATATTTTTTAGTTGTTCTTGGGGGTTATTTTTATTAACTCAATATTTTGTCACAATAGTAATCTTCAATATCCCTGCTGCATTTGTGTGAAGAGATTTCTCTGTAATCTGTAATTCATGTTCTTCTGGGGGTTTCCCTCTAATTTGATCCAGTTATTTTTATTCCAACAGCCTACTTGAGCAGTGCAAAGAGAAAAAAAATCGGAGCATTGATATCCCTTGCATGCCATAAAGTATTTATTTAATTTACATTTATTGTGACTACCCTGCAGTATACTGATATGCTAATAGTAGATACATGAAAATACTTGGTTTTATGGTTTAAGGCAACTGTATTACTCATGAGTGTTGTAACAGACAGGCTATTGTATGAATATAAGTAAAATGTATGTTTATTTATAAATTCTATTTTGCTCATACAGTTTTAGAGTAAGGTTCTTATTTTTTGTTTTCAGATGAATCTTTGAGGGTTTGAGTGTTCTCTTCCTAAAGAAGTTATTTCCTACACTCCACTCTTCCACTCCAAAAGACAAATCACTTACTTTGAGATGCATCATTTTGAATGGGATAGTCATTGACATATGATAGCTTATGGCCAATATTGCATAATGAAGATATTCACGTTCTCAGTCTAATCCACTTCACGAAGTTTGCATAACATTTCATTATAGCTCCCTCTGAGATAATCATGTTACTTGATACTTGCAAAAAAAATCAAAATACAAGGAGTGAGCATTCATGGAGGCACTGAATTTAAAAGTATGTCATCACAGACTTGATGCTGCACAATGGCAGGTTAGGCAGAAGAGGGGTACATCGTGAATGCAAGTGAAGATACACATGAACAGATTTTGAAGTTCCATATGTACTCTTTCAGCATTGTGGAGGGGGTTGGGTTTTGCTTCATTGAAATGATTTCTTAAATTGATTTCAGTTGTAACAGGGATGAAATTGGGCCGCCATATTTTGTTCATTACTTACAGTAAGACCTTGTAGGCACAGTAGGTATTTTATATTGACTTTTGTTCAAGTGAATAGCCTAACTTGTGTGCAACACTTACTAATCCACATATAGTTTGATGTGTTAAAAATCATCTTCTGAAGCCAATTTGTATCAAATTTTTATGTAAAAAGATTCTTAAATAGAGAAACAGTTTGTTTCTAGATTTCAAAACTGTAACAAAGTTGTGGGTTTTGGTTTTGTGGTTTTTGGTTTGTTTGTGTTTGTTTTAGGCTTTTTCTTATACAGATGTCAATTTGAGGACAGTGGTAAAGAGGTTCAAAATTGAACTGCTTTATCTCTTCTGAAAGCACAGAACAAGTTCCTATGTGCAAATATGATCGAGTTGCTTTAAAATTGATCAATATTTAATTATTGACTGACCGTAGAGAAAGTAAAAATCTGGAACATCCTGCTGGTGTCTTGTTAATGAATTGTTCTTCAAATGGATCTTTATATAGTGTGGCTCATTGGCGAGCTGTTCTTGTATGGTTTTCTCTTTCCAAGTAGCAGCAACACAGCTTGTACTATAAAAGATTTGAATACAACCCACCCCTGTTCTATTGTGAACTTAGATGCTGTATTTAAGATTAAATGAATTTGCTGAAACATGTTTGAAGGCCCAGTGAGGGGTTTTTGCTGAAGTGAGGCCTCAGTGTACACGCATGCTGTTCCCAGTGTGCTGAAGAGCCATACTGTTACTGGAGGAATTTACAAGAGATGTGAAGAACTCCAACATTGTAGATGTGACCACAGTGATGTTGCAAAACTTTGCCAGAAATCCTTGCAGAGCTGAAGTTGTTCCGATTCTATGTATTTGCTTCAACTGGTTCCTTGTGCCTCTTTGTGAAATTGTTTGCCTGGTATTGGAAGTGTAGGAGAGAAAACAGATGTGTGAAATTCTCTTAAATTCTTCTTTGCATAGTGGTTTTTTTGTTTGTTTGTTTCTTTCTTTCTCTTTGTCTGGTGTTGCCTTTGAACGTGAATTCATTAAGAGAGAAAGGAGCAGGTAGAGATTGGGAAAGAGTAGCTAACCTGGTAGGCTTTAGCTGATAGGAGTTACTCGGTCTTTAATTTGCAGCAGCAGCTCTCCGTCATGTCTCTGCATCCCATAATAATGACAGATATTGAATAGCTGCTTTCCTGGTACCTCAGCAAAGAATTCTAGAGAACTTTAATAAAAGCTTCAAAAGTGAACAGATTTCTTTCTAAGCTACACGAAACATGCTTCAAACATATATTTGTCTTTGACAAATACAGGTATTCTTTCTCAAGGATGTACTGGTAGTCTTTCTCAAATAACTCCTAAATGTAATGATTTGCTTAATTATGTTAAAAAAATTAAAAAATTCTCTTTTAAGAAACTGGTTCAAAACTAACTTTTGGGGAGACTTGACATCAGGACAGTGTTTTTTCCTGGCAACCCTCAGTCTGTTATTTTTGAAGAATCATAATTAGGAGAAGTTATTGGCAATTATTGCATCAGTTTTTGTTGAGGTTTTTTTTGTTTGTTTGTTTTGTTTTTTTTTTTTTTAACTGAAGTTCTGATCAGCAGCAAGGGCAGTGTTGGGATTTTCAGATTCTAAGTGTTCTTGCTGTTACTCGACCAGTTGATGTTGCTCAGCACACTGCTATGTCTTTGGCAGCATTGTTACCCAGGGAGAAAAGTGGCCATGAGGTACAGGGATAGCAGTGTCACTTGGCAGCAGAGGCAGATATCTAATATGCAACTGTTAGGCTTAAGACAGTTTACAATGGTGCCTGACAAGCATGGCCAGAATATTTCTCAGAGCTGCACAATCAAATAATAAATAAAATATAGTTTTAATTCACCTGTCATAATACCTTTAAAAAGTTGAAATTCCAAATCCAGTTTTGCTAGTTCATTTTTATTACTTTAAACCAAAGTCTGTTAGGCAGCTTTTTTTTTCCTCTTTTATGATACTGGAAATTCTTAACAAAAGCATTGTTGGACAGTTTCCAAGCACATTTCTTCTCTTGCATTAAAATCAACGCTAATGTTAAAAGTCAGAAGACAGATTTGTAATCTTCAGAAGGACGCATAGCTATAACCTAGACATAGAAGGATGTGCATAGCTATAAACTACACAAAGAAGGTGGACATAGCTTGATGTAAAGCATGTAACAGGAGTGGAGCCCAGTCAAGCCAAATCACTTGCTGGACAATGGAAATGGCTTCAGTTTAAGGAAGAATAATGCAAGGATATAAATCAGAATTCAAAAAACATTCCCATATTCCCAAAACAGCCCCAGTCTTTAAATGAATGCAGGCACATCTTCTTTTGAGGTAAATGATTTCATATAATCACAGACTATCCTGATT